ACCAGTATTTTTTTAACCAAACATTAATCAACAGATAGATTACCCAACCCGTTCCAATTATACTGACAAAGGCCTCCATTATTAACAACCAATTGATCTTTGGTAACTGCCGTGTTAAATGTTATCTATCCATCTCTCTCTCGCTCGAGAGAAACTCTACCTATATTTCACATTAATCTATAGTCTCGAGGGAAACCGGGGTAACGCGCAAAAATTGCAAATGCCTAACAACCCCAATTTGTCGCATAATAACGTCCCCCTCACTCGCGTTAGGCCATCTCGCTCGCACACTAATGGATCGACAATAAAGTAATATACAGATAAATAGCTTTCCGCTTAAATTTTGGCCCAATTCACGCTGTACCCCTTAATTGCGTATCTCCCCTTCTTATTTTCATCTCGCTCGCTCATGCCCCTAATCGTATATCTGTCTCTTTCCGTCGTTAATCCGTGGGTGAGTAGTATAATCGCGTACATAAGTACTTAATCGCATTTCGGGGCATGTTTGAATAGTACCCTCTATTTATTTAGTGCGGGTATCGTTATGAAGTGAGATTTCGTTCCCTTTTCACTGTTAAAGCGATTGTTTGCGGGAACTTATGACTTTTATACGACCAATTGTGCTAGGTCCTTTGTAGTTAACCGTTTGTGAGGGCTGTTGGGTCTATTGTAACGGTAGGATAACAGTGTTGGCAGATGGGCCTTTGTTCCATGTAAATTAAAGTTTATTGTTGTGTTAAGAGGGAGTAGTTTTTGAACATTAAATTTGCATCGAAATGTGATAATTGTTTAATCGTTCGGTTGGCTGGGTTGAAGATATTTTAATTGACATTAGGTACGTTTTTGAGTTTGAACTTTCTTTTTATGAAAACTCATTCATTGGTTAATAAGTAGTAATATAGTGGTAGTAAGTGTATAGGCTGCTTAATCATTAATATTTTTGTAGTGTAGGTAATAAAATGGGATATTTAGATAATCCCATCAAGCATATCCAGTGTGTTTCCTAAGTAAACAGCCTAGGATACCTTAATAATGAGTTCGAAAAGAGCTCATACTATGTAAATTATAATTATCCCGGCAAAGTCTAGTAATTCACACCGTTAATAATAATAATTATTATTTAGTTTTGAAACCTTTTTGTATTAATAAGGAACCTAACGTGTTAGGGATCTTAAAACTGATACTGAGGTATCAGTTTTAAGATGTAATGAAATTTAATATTGCAATATTTGTTAAGTAATTTAATAATTGTTTTTAAATCTTTAAAAAAACGTGTACTTTCTTAAAAAAAGAGATAATAACGTATAATAATAACATATTTAACAATTATATAGTCTCAAGGGTATTCGCAGCCCAGTAGTAATGAAACCCATTTAAATAATGCAAGCAATAAACTACCAAATTGTGTAACATGATAAACCAAGGGAAACCCATCAAAAGCTCTATTATGGAAGGACAACGATCCGACGGGTCCCTTAGGCCCATTTGCGTCGCACGGGTTGAATTGTACCGAATAAATAACAACACTTTCACGTCTAAACCCCTATAATGTTGAGAATAAAGTTCAGAATTGAACGAATGTTGTTAAGCGACGTTGAACATTCGTCATATATGGGGTATTTCGGACCCTTAACCTTACTGCTCCTGTGGGAGACGAGAGATTGCTCGTATTGTAAATGTCGTGATTTCCTACTGTTATTTATGGTCAATTATTTGTAGGGTTATTTTTTAAATAAATGTAATTCTGCTCGAATGATTTTGTGAACAGTATGGGCGTAAATAGCCGTTATGGGAAATGCATACTCAAAATTTGGGTTGTGGTTGGGTTACTTTTTCCAATACTCGTATTATATAAAATAGGTTTCCAATTCCAAAATAGGATTATATTTAATAGGGATAATATTTATTATATTTTTGTTGTATCCTCTGAACTACTCGTATTTTGACGACAGAAGCAAAATTAATTTTAGATGCCATCTATTTATATGCCTACTTATAAAGGCTTTAACCTTGAAAACGAAGAATGAGGGTCCTTAATATAATTTATTTATAATTAAGATATAGTAGGTATATATTTAAATCCTTTATACTGCACATTTAACGTATCTAAGTATTATAATTACTGACATACTGAAATGCAGGTACCTAAATGCATGTAAATATATCATTTACGGCAACATTGTTCACTCGTTGTTCACGTTTTAGTAAACATTTAATCTCATATTTGTAAGTTTACACCTTAATAACCAACTCTTTTGTACTCTCTTACCTGTATTTAGTAGTAATAACTTTATATTTATTACTCTTCGAAAAGACACAAAATGCAAAGTATTTTCAACTTTATTGCAATACCTTTAGAGAATTATCTATAAAGATACTAGATACTAGCATTTTACGGACGCATACAATGTCATTGAGAATATTTGTTTCATTTGTAGTGTGTATGTGTGAAACGCATTCATTAATGGCAACATTGTCATGTTCTGTCTTATTGGTATGCAACCGTTTGTATTGCTAGACGCAAAAAGGTCTAATTGTAGGCATGCTCAAGTATTTATGGATTTTGAAAGATCATAATATTTGTATTTTTAAAGTATCTCATTCATAATAATGCTTAACTATTAAAATTCCTTTTGATGTTTGCTACTTTCATTTATAGCATCGTAAGAGTTTTCTCCTATTCTGAAACATAACTTATAATCTACACAAAATTTTATTATAATGTAAAAAGTTATCATCAAGTTCTGAACATACAAATTAGTAAATATCTGACATTTAAAGTATAAGTATACCTGTATATTTTTATTTTTTATTTAATTTTTATACCTGTATAGGAAATTCGGTGCTTAAAATAATAAAAAAAAAACAATAAAATGTGTACTCGTAGAGTCTCATCAGGCAGATTGAAGATTTCTTTGAAAATATATTTATAGTTTGCGATGATTAAAGATATCGTTCTTTTCCTGCTTTTTGTGGGTTGAAATATAATATTCGGGAACTACGTCGAGAATGCCACAACAACCCTAACTGGTATAGTCATCTGCACCCAGGCCTCGATCAATGACAATCCGCACGTCACCCGTCTCACTCTACAATAGGCTTTCCCTCTACCACGGACCATTACCCTCAGAAAGGGTGGTATTGCCTGATTGATATTTGATGTCGATATATGATGTACTAATGTACCGTGAAGCAGGGTGATGATCAGTAACGGATCGTCGTGTTAGGGTCGCTACTCTGTATCACATAATTTGACTATTATGTACGAATTATTTATCTTCGGCGGATTGGTCCTACTTATTGATATCTATTTATATCTTATATCATTACGAATTTTTAAATTCTTTTGATTTGTGAAAGGAGTTTATACTTATTGATATCTATTTATATCTTATATCATTACGAATTTTTAAATTCTTTTGATTTGTGAAAGGAGTTTATGTAATACAGAAGATACTTTAAAATAATTTAGTGGTAGGTATTATAAAAATATACCTAGTGAACGATGTAACCTAGTGGTTTATTATCTCATTTCAACCCCGAAGGTGGCGACTCAAATCTGACTGGCCCCAAACAAAAGTTTGTATGTCAATTTATATATATCTATATATGACTGACTTTCCGCTGAAGAAAACAAAGAATTTAGGGCCTAGATACATATGAAGAGCCCTTATAACAAAATAATACAAGTTCTGTATAAAAAATCTTCATTCAAATTGATTGTACAAAACAAATAAAGTTAAAGTATTAAAAACAGTAATAAGATTTAAATTTTCCATTACGAAGTCAATATCGCGCAAAACACACTCTCAATATGTAACTCGTATTCCATTGCCGTGAAATTGTATGCGTTCAGACGATATTTATTGCTTTTACATATCAAACATGGTTATAAATTATATTTTACTTGTTGCCGATAATGCCAAGCGATAATACAATCGGCATAATAATCAATTTGCTGATTTTTAAACAAAACCGATAAAATCAGAAAGTATGGAGCGTAGCGAAAGCATGCGTGAACACTACGTCTCTATATTGCTGAACCCCGAGTTACGCTAATTCACAAAGTTTAAAACATTTACCCGCGACTTAATATGCTCTTTATGAAATAAAATGTAGCCTATTGCGGATCTCGTGATGTTAACTGTCTCCACATCAAATATCATTAAATCAATTTAACTTTTTAGTCAATAGTCAAGAAAAGAAAAGCAGACAGATAGATATACTTTCATAATAGAATCATTATATATAGAATAATAGAATGAATTGTATTAATTTTATAATTATGTGAAGGCCAACCGTTTTTATCGTATTCCATATAAGTTGACAATCTGACCTGACGGAAAGTGGTCATCTGTACGGCCATCGCTACAAACGCCAAAAAGTAATTCTGATGCCCGTAGTGTGTTGCTTGCGACTTAAAAGTTACATAGTAAATTCAAGTTTTTTTTACAAATGATAGATACATCTTTATTTTATAGGTACATACTTGGAATATAATGTAATTTTAGCATAGCGTAGTATACTGCTGTAGCACATCGACGAACTAACGATCTTCTTGTTTATTACTGTAATTTCTCAAATGCAAAGGCATTCGGTGGATGCGATATGAATAGATTTCGCGAGCCATTAAACATGTGACAAATCGTTGCACAAAATGGCTGCCACTTTTTGCGCGGGAAACTACGCTAGAAAAATTTTTCGACATCGATTTTTCTTTCAATAGATTGTGAAATATGATGAGGGGACGTAGGTATGTGAATAGTTTTATTGCTCTTTCCGTTAATCCTTTGTTATTGTTTGGTTAACTGGGCGTAGGATTTGATGCGTGTATAAAAATGACATTGTTACCCCAATTTTACGTACAAAGTTTTAGAATAATGCGTAGTAGAAATGTTAGGTATTTTTTTGAATAGCCTTACATTATTTATTTGGGTACTGTTTTAGTGTTTAGTGATACACGAAATATTATAAAAATAAATATTTGTTTTTGTCTCCAGGTTAAAGTATGGTTTCAAAATAGAAGAACGAAACATAAAAGAATGCAGCAAGAAGAAGAAGCAAAGACTGGTACGAAGTCGGGTTCCTCTAACTCTAAACCAGATGACGGTAATCAGTTTAATAATTCGTATGAAGATGAAGATGAAGAATTAATAGATATGGACATGGATGAATTAAGTGAAAGTGAAAATGAGACATAATTTTAGTGACTTAGATTGGACAAAAGTGATTTAAATGTAAATAATATAATAGTAAATAGCAATATCTTTTATTTATTTGTGGGTCTGAATAGGGGTTTATTCTTTTGCCACGTTTCTAATTCAGTTTAAAACTGCGTGACTAGATTTCATAAAATTTGTTAGTATTAATACTTTTCTGTGAACTTCAACAAACAAAGTTATTTCTTTTTATATTGTAGCTGTAAGAAGCGACCAATCCAATGGCACCAATTTAAAATACATTGTCGAGCGATCAATTTGTAAACATGTATAAGAGTTTAAAAATGTGGCAACCATGTCATTAAATTAACGGAGCACATTTCAAAATGGCGTTACGAGATCTTGTTAGCGCTTCATGAATTATTAGATAACGAAATTGGCCGTATTATAATAGTTTTGGGGCTAAATTAATTAAAAATTCTTTTTTTTGGGCGTCCCTCCAATGATGTGGGTATAATTAGACATTTAGATTTAAAATTCCGATAGGCGGGGTTAAAGTTGCGTTAAAAAAGGAACAATTCGAGTGTCAACTTAGAATTCTTGAAGAGAAACGATTTATATCCTGATAGCGAGAAAGGATGTATTTAGAAGGAAAAATTAAACGTTTCGATATAAATGACAATTATTAATTGACACTTAAAACAAATGCAAATACTTAGGCATGCTTTTACATACTTACAGACCACGAACTGAATTTGGACTGTAATTATATATATATATATATATAACTCCAGAAATATCTTAAATTAAAGCTTATAGGTTGTTTTTAATGTCAATTACATAATTTATTGCACTTATCTTACAGGTATGATATTTTTAAATTACCTAACAGAATTTTGATTAATATTGAGTAGATATACCTACTTCATTGTTGACTTCTAATAAAATGCATTACAAAATTATCATGGGCCAGGATCGCATTTAGTTAATAATTGTCGGCGACGGCTCCAAATTATTTTAAACTGTTGACGATCGTTCTTAACGGCCATTTGTCTATGGTTTCTGACTTTATGATTAAGATCTATCTATGGTCTGATTGGTGCTTTCACACTAAAAGTCACGGTTCGCAGTGCTCCATACAATTATAACGCTGTTATTGCCTTTTGTTCAGTTTTCCTAATATTCCCTCGATGTTCTGTAACAAAAAAAATAATATCATAAAATTTCCTACATAGCATAGTATCGTATAATATGTTATTATTTATAATTAGAGTATTTTAATATAATACGTGCCGAACTACGCTTTTTAAATCTCAATACATAACAATATTATGAATTACAGTTTGTAGATATATTTATTGAACATATGTAATATTTTTTATTGTTATTTTTAGATGATACCTATTATATTGGAATACAGACTAGACCACATTCTAGATCAAAATTAGGAACTTTAGAATCGGTTTTTAAATGACATATTCGTAAAATAAACTTTAAAAAGCAAAATGTTAGCCGTTACAACTCCGTTCGACACGCTCGTTTGCTATTCTATTAATCGTCTGATTTTGTCGTTCATTACGATTTCGTATAAATTCACAAATATTGTGATTTTCATATTTTTTTTATTACTAGCAGGTCTAGTTCAAAATGATTTGAGTAATGTAGTAGTTTATGTTACATTTGAATACTTGGTCATACCTACTCAATGAGAGATACAAATTAAATGTTAATTATTTAGGTACTTAGAAAAGAAAATATCAACTCATCATCACATAATATCTGGTAGTAATAAAAAGATCCATATTGTTTTTATTTTTACTTCCTACCTGATATGCTTTGAGCTAAAAAAGAGGCAATTAGCAATTAGTGAATGTAAATAATTACATATTTTCTAATAAGTACGTACATACCTGAGTGAATTCGATAGGTTGAAATCGAGCTGAACCCTTTAAAACGCGATTATAAGGCTAATTTGTATTTGCTTTTCCGTCTTTTGTTCGATTGATTTACGATTACGAGTATCGAATTCCTGTCGTGTCGATTTACAGAGAGTATCGATTCAAAAACAACGTATTTAGTTATTATCCGTTCAGCAACAACTTGTTTTCGCAAAATGCCTTGTTTTAAAGATGTGCAGGTACACGTACAGACATATTAAATTTTTATTTTGTTGGTAATAATCTTTTTTTTAATATTTAAAACTTAAAGTTTGCCAGGATGTATGGATGTCTGTTATTCTTTTTTAAAAAATACATTATGTATTTGAATGTCTCAGACAGATCGTATTCTAGATTATATGACACATAGGTTTGTCGCAGTCTACCTACAGCTAATTATTCCTATATTTTGTACAAAGTGCCAAGAACATAATATAATTTCTTAAAATTTCATTTGGATAAAATGTCATCTAATACAATTAAGAAATAATTTATAAAATAATAACTAAAATTCTACAATATTAGCTGTCTCAAGGGACTTTATATTCTTTATATGTACATGTCTGAAAATTATTTTTAATAAAAAAGTGATTACGCCATAGCATAAACAATTTAGGAGAATTTTAATTAAATGGTGTAATTGGAAAAAGGAAAAACGGTTGTCTTTATCATGGCAGTATAAGTCTAGATTCCATTTTCAGCTCAATTAACTGCCAGTCGCTTTTAATTATCGATTTTCTTCATTAAGTGTTTGCGATTAGCGAGCATGTCGATACTTTACGACGTATTCTTCGACGAAGTCTGATTTTAATTACTGGCCCATTGATTGCTTCTAATTCGTTGATAAATCGACAATATTCGTTATTGGAGTCATTGGATTATTACTGATAATGAAATTTAAATTAATTTGTGCCGTTGTATTATGTATTTTTTTTCTTAAATCCTACATTAACTAAAGATGCAATATCGAATGTATTGGAAAATTATAAATTGTTCCAACACAATCACTAATCATCACAATCGAATGCTTACTGCTACATTTTTATTTATATCACTCCAGAATTAATTAGTTAATAATAATGGCCAAATAAATGTAGTTTAACTTTATTAATCCAATTTGTTATTTTTTATTACATTCGCAATGTATCCTTAAAGCGTAAATTGTAATATGACATGTTAATAAAGTACGCGGCATAAAATATTAATAGACTATTAGGTACTGCAAGGTTACTTTCTTGATTGTTTATTATAAGTCTATTTTGTTTAGTAAATTCAAATTAGTTTTGTACCATCTGAAAATATCTGAATATGAGTGTATACCTCGAACAATTATGAGCATTTATAGATGAATCCTAAAGAAATCATAAATTTCTTGTTTAAAGTTCCTTTTATAATAACATATGCTACATTCTAATTAAATTGTATATGAAAATGACAATGCGTGTTTTCAGATGGTATACCTACCTACAATATATTTAGTCAAAAGTGTTTTTCTATGAAATACAAGAATAATAACTGATCTAATTACTGTATATCAAGTTTCATAAAGTAATGTTAAAGATTCGCTCAATTTAACGTAGTTTTATTAAGTCAGTTCCTTTAGAATAAAAAAGTGAGTTAATCACCTAACGATATATAATTATGCAGTATTATATATAATATAACGATACATATTATGTAATTTAGCTGCGAATAATCTCAATGTAATTAATTGCATGGAAAATGTCAAAATATTGATAATTATACTATGAAAAGATATTTTGGTTATCAGTCAAAATACATAAATAGATTGTGGACGCGCAGGATATAAAATATTTTTTTAACGCAAACATTTAATTTGATGTATGATCTATTAAGAATTCTTGATTGTAGACTGATTAAACCAGCACTTGTCAATTTGATTTTATGTAATATTTGTTTAGGAAGTCATATTTATAATAAAAAGTAATGTAAATAAAAACATATTTATTTCTGAAATCGTACTTAAACAAGGCAAGGAACTTCCATTTTTCGATGTATTGTAAATCTTTTTAAAAAATATTGTTCCTTCTTCGTGGGTTTTGTATGCCATAGATAACAGGTTGTAAATATTTACTTTATAAATATAGATAAAATATAGATACTATGAAGTAGTGTTTAGCAATAAATTGTACATTTTAATACAATGTTTAATTGTTTAGTGACAGTGTAAATATGAGTGTGTTAGTATACATAGTTTATGTATTAAGTATATTTGTGTGTATATTCGGCTATTACACTTTTCTCCACGACTGTACGCAGTGAGTTCTCGTTTCCTTAACATCGTACGAAAGTGTAGTTACTTAAAAGACGAGTGATATAAAATATATGTTTTTACTCATTTAATAATGGTCTTCTTATTATCATACCTGTTAGCTGCTAAGTAAAAATTGCTTCGATGTTTCTTTATAGATATTAAATTAATAAGAAACAAGAGAGGGCTATGTGGTAGTGGTATACTACTACGACTTAAACTCAAAAATAGTGACTTCAAATCTCGCCTACAGGAAAAAAAAACTTTATGTCAATAGGAATATATAGGAAACACAGATAATGAAACCAAAACATATAACAAGAGACGATAGCAGGCTTGTTGCTCCTGACACAAATTGTTCTTAATTCTATAATATCACAGGACTAAATCATTTCTTTCACACTGCATTTACTACCTTATTTAAGATAAAAGTATTAAGTGTTCATGTCACAAATATAACTAGGTATCTTGTTTTATTTACATAATAGGTATAATAAATAACTTACAACCATTAATAATATATAGATATATGGGTGTCTGTTAATCTACATAGATCAAACCTTTATTAGAAAAATTTTCATTGATGTAGATCTAATTTCATACAAATTTAAATTTACCAGTTCAGTTCGGAATGTAGTTTTCATTTAAGATGCCCTGACTTTCCAGTAAATTTTTCTTCAATTATATTTCCTCATTATTTTCATTGAACATAATCAGTAAAAATTGTAGACATACTTAATTATAATACATACATACATACTAAAGTAGATATTAAAACTCCAATGTGAATACAGTTCAGTGACCATAAACTCATCCTATATATACCATATATTAGATTAAAACGGATTATACTAATTTCTAAAATAAGAGTCATTCCACTCTATCGATTAATATAAGTAGACTATCGTCACTTAATAAAGGTGCCTACTTACAATTGTTTCAAATATTTAAACTAATATGAGATAAGATTTGCTAACTGTGTTTATCAATAATGCCAAATTGAAAATTAAAAATGAACTTTAACCAAATACTAATACAAAACTTGTATTAATCTGTACTAGTCTGTGACAGCTAATTTGAAAAATAACCAACTGACATGGTGAAATGAAAGTTATAAGTAAAAAGAGGTGGACTGTAAAGGAAGGGAAATAATGAAACACGATTAGAATTTGTCATTGCCATGTCTCCAATAATTAAGTCAAACGAATAATAATAATGTCTTCAAGATTTGCCCTTCCACACCATAGACCACACATATCACCAATGACGTCATGCACCGCGATGACAACACTAGCGCACCACCAGTGAATGTCAAATAGTGACGTGCCGTGATTACAAATCGAGCACAGATCGTATCGCATGGAAGATTTGAGCATTGATTTTGGTAAGTGCTCTTTTATTGTCTGTTTATCAGACTTTAGTTTTTTTCTGTAGTTATTATAAGTGCCCACGATTGTGCTACCGATAAGAATGTGAGCTGTTAGTTAATTTGTGGAAACGAATCAAACGTTGACCTCAATGAAATTGTGGCTACAGTAAATTTACTTAGAATGAACGTGCATAGATTTCATCAGTAAAAATATAGGGTTATAAATTCTAAATACAGATAGAATAGAGATATTTAATGTATTTCTTTTGATTCTTTATGAGTAATATCTATATTTGTTTAAAATATGATTGTGATATAGCACCTACCTATATAAATGCTGTGGTAGGTACTTCAGCCTGATGTGCTTAACGTCATTCTCTGTCAGAGCACCAGATTAGTAGCGGATTTTAAAATTTGTATGAAGTGAAGCCCAAGTTCCAACTCACTGTTCGTTGTTACAATTCACCAGGAATAATAAGTTCACTAATATTGCAATAGTTTCCACGAGGGACCGCGTGAAGGTTGACTTGTTATGATTTATTAATAGTAAAGAGGCCACTAGTCCCCATTATTACTAATAATACCCTCCGCTTGTGCCCATATATAATTATGTTTAAGCAAGATGAATTTCGTATATACATGAATATATAATTAGTAAATTGTACACTACCACATCTATTTTCAGAATAGCGGTAAAACAAAAATAAGTTATCAATCTTCAATAGAAACCCCTGTTCTAATGAAGTTCTACAAAAGAAGAAGGTAATAGATAAATTTATTATTATATGCTATATAAATAATAGGTACTTAAAATAAATATTATACCTAGAAGAAGAAAACTAGAGCTCCTTTTAAAATTAAATATTGATTTATTATATGCTAGCTACTCGCCCCGGATTCGCATAACCTTTCTCTTGAATCTCTCTATCTATAAAAAAAAATGCTTCAAAATCCTTTGCGTAGTTTTAAAGATTTAAGCATACATAGGGACAGA